TTCTTTTCCCTTTCTTATGATATTTCCAATGGTTATTTTAGCCTCCACACCTTCTTTTCTTTTATTATTTATGGGTTTCATAGTTCTGCTTTGCTTTATTTTATTTCTCATGCTTTGAATGTAACGAAGTTTCTCACTCATACAATCAATATTGTTAGACGTGAGGCTACTTGTCTGTCAGAGAGGTCACCAGCCAACCAATTAAGGGAGGTCTCCCCCCAGGCGAGTGAGTGGATGCGCGAGCAAGGTGTGAAGTAATTACACAAACTGGACTGGACACAAAACTGGACACAAATTGACTCACCCCGTAATAGATCGTGCGCCACGATCGATATTCGTGCCTGTCACAAAATAATTATTAACCTAATCAAATTCAATCTATCCGTCATCTAGGCAACCTTCTTACCATGCTAGACCTCCCAGTCTATTCCCTTTTTTCGTCCATTTTTTACTTCTATCATAAGCTTGTTAACTTCCGAAATATGCTAGTCAGTTGGTTTTACGTGAGTTACTTACTACCCCTTGATAATTGGCGCGGATCCATAAACTTTCCCGAATTCTCCGATTTGTTTTAAGACGAGATAATTGTTGTACAAAAATTTAAGAAAAAATATCGTGATGTGATTTTAAGTGAACTCGTAATCCGTCAATACCCCATTATGTAAATGCGAGCGGTCGATTGCCGCCTGCGCACAGCAGCCTCTCTATCTTCCCTCCAGATGTGGTTTCCTTCGTTCATTCATTCAACAGCTGCGCGACTGACTGCTCTCATTGGTATCGATTTGCTCTTCTCTCCGTACATCGGCCGAGCTGTACATTTTTTACTCTCCAAAAATCCATAGATGAGATTATTCGATAGATTATTCGCCGGGTTTTCTCCTTCAGTAGTTATGCTAGGTGCCATCTTCACGGAAGTTCACTAGGTGCCCTTACGCTAAGTTGATTGGATCGGTCCCTCATTGTATCTGCCGTATTAGTGGCAAATTAGGAATTTGAAATGAATTCCTGCATGAAATAGAGGAATCGTACTCTTCGAAAAGCTAGTTTGTAACTCAGGTATCTGTGGTTATGATCTTGATCGAGTCGCCCAGCGATACTTGATGAGCCAATCGAAGCTGTTATTATTATTACTCTACGCTGTCTACTTCTACTTTTCGCGAACAGGTCCCATGAATATCACCTGGGAAAAGTAGAGGTTGTTGTCTGGCNAAAAACGAAGAACTAGTCGCTCAGTGTCTTTATGTATTGTTAGTCCTTCGCCTTTCTTTCTGAAGTATTATATCCTGACGTGAAGCACTGAAACTGGCATTCTGACAAAGTCTTAGGAGTTAGTGAGATCTAAATTAGTCGTTTTGCTTTAATTAAATTGTTCTGGGATGTCCCATGCACCAGGTTTCCCTTCCAGGATTATCGCGGATTAGGGGTTGGAACTATTGGGACTATCCTGAGGCCAGTCAGTTCATGATTTTTTGTTTCTACCATCTCAGACAAATCTGGTATCAATTAAGTGTCCACTGGTGAACTGAAGGCTCTTTAGGCCCGGCTGGGATCTCTGGAGATGATTGTCGTGTTAGACCGCTCCTTTCTATCCCGACTTCAACCATATAGGAAGGCTAATACGACAATTTAAGCCTGCGACTCTCCATCGGCTCCTGTGAACTTGGCGTATTTGTCTTAGATGGAAATGGGCACTTGAGATGTCCAAGCTTGATTGATTCTTCCGCATTTGCCTAACACTCCAGCTCCCCTGCCTTGTCAAGGTCTTAAAAATTGAACCCGTTAATAGGAAAGTCTCTTTTTCTCTCTATTCTTATTTTCGTCTCTCTTTTCTCTCTTTTTCTCTTTTCTTTTTCATTTCTCCTAATTCTGACAATGACGAACAACTTGGACGAGCTAGTAGCTTAGCAGTTTCCCATGCCTCTTTCCTAAGCCCATGAAGATTGTATAGAGGTAGGTAAGAAACAGGAATGCGCGAATGATGAGACCGGCTCCCGGGCTCTAGCCACGGCATTAATTATAGGTGTTGGATTTCGCAGCGGGAATTATCGTCACATTTGACTTGTCATAACACGTTACGACATGCGAGGGGGATAGGCACTTTACGTTTTCTGACAAGTATGCATGAACGTGACGTGTAAAGCTCTCCCTATTGTACACTTCCCATTGTTTCGATCGATTCTGAAACTTCTCGAAAATTCTTTCAAATATTGATTTAATTCGATCGAAAACGATCAATTTTTATTGGCTCCCACCTTTATATAGGCTGATTTTATCGATTTTCTACTCAAATTGTATTCGTTATCATTAACAATTAGTGATTTCATTATAACTAGGAAGAATCTATTTTATTTTTCTTGAAAAAATTCTTCTAAATACTGGCCCTTAATAAAGCTGGGTCCCTTCAAGCTTACACTTCCACCACCTTTTTTCAGAAGATTAAATTCTTTATTCTTATTACTTACCGACCGATTTGCCTCATCCGACTTTTTTGGAGTATTCTGTCCTCAATGTAAGTATGACCGTCACGTGGTAAGCACCCTCATTATAGTTTTTCAGTGTTCAAAAGATGCTAATGATCCCCATTCAGAAAAACCGGCTGCCAAATGGGGCGGTGGTGTTGGCTATCGTCCAAAAGTAGTTGTTTTAAGGCAACATTCTTCTTCACGCCACTTCATCAGATATGATTGGAGACCAAAAATAATTGTCTTTAATGCCTTTTTTACGCCAGGCTCAATCATATTCCTATTTTTGCTGTGTTTGCCGTTTTATCTTCGTACCATTGCCTTCCTATTGCTATTAATTTCCTATTATATAGCTATTGCTATTATTTTCCTATTAATTTCTTGATGTTCCGAAATAAGGATAATGCTTGGAAACTGCGGTGAGCAGCTTTTCCCGCTTTCCTTTCCTGCCTGGTGGAGTGGGTGATGGAGTATCGTAATAGTATCGTAGTAGTTATGAATGCCACAGCTGACGCTGGCAATTCACGGAGGGGCACTCAATATGCGCATTAGTGTATTATTATGAAGCTATAACCGTTTAATATGCTGAGCGATGGAGACGCGGAGCCAAGGGAGCACGGGTAGTGTGAAGATGTTATTATTATAACTATGACAGTGATGACGTACAATGTTTTCTAGCGATGATTCTACTCCATCGCATTGTCACATCAAAACACTCTCCTTTCTCACCACATGGTGTGTATGCGCCTTATAAAAAGGAATCTTTTTTTTTTTTTTGAGAAAAGCCCATTTTTTGTTTTACTCTTCAAGATTTGGTTTTACGACTCATTCACATGAAGATATTCAATGCCCAGCTACACAAAAACTTTCCTAGATTACTTGTCTCACGTCACCATTCCACTAGCATGAACCTGTGTGCCGCCTCTGCTTTAAAAATGAGATACTGCTTCAGCATAGCGGAGGAAAATAGACAAGGAGGGGTTCCATTGCTCAAACTTGTTCATCAGACCTACTTTCGTTCTAACTCATCCCTGATCCCACCACACCCTGGGACACGATACTGTGTTAGCTGATTGATTCTGGACTGATTCGGCTGACTGAAACTGATCCTGATAACCGCAGTACTAAGTATTATTGTCGGCCTGACTGAGTGTGATGTTTTGTATTGGCAAAAATATTGTTCTGAAAACCGAACTCGATTATAAGCCAACTGTACTTTGAATTTTTTCATCTAGCCCTGCCCAAAGCCGAAGTTTTGCCTAAGATTTAGTAATCTTGTGATGACTTTTGCATTGCCATCTGTGGCGAAAAGTAACAGTCAAATAAAAAAAAAAA